CAGTGCTTGCGTTCGCCCTATTGCTGATATATTGTCATTTCTTCGAATGAAGCCAAATGCAAAAACGTCCGGTGAAACTTTGTCAAAAATAAAATAGAATGCGTTTGCCCAAGGTTACTAGAAGATAGAAACCGCCACGTGTGAATGTAAAACCGTGCGCTATTTATTCTTGTACATTACTATCATGACGTTGGGATAGCCGGCTATAACGTAGGCTACCTTCTCATAGTTTGCCAAATATAAATAAGAAAATAAAAATATATATCGGCCTGTGACAACGCTAATCAACTATTATAAGTTCACTGTCACTAGTGTCACTTTCACTAGATGAATGCTCAGTTTGCTTCCATTATCGTTATTTAGGAAAGTTTTGGCTCAATAACTCATCTCTCCTAATTAGCATTGATTCTCACATCTAAGGAATGTCACACTTCATCTCACTTTCTTAGTGGCTGTAACTCTCATATAACGCGTACTCCACTTTTTTATGCTCTCCGAGCATCTGACGCTGCTTTTCGGAGACTTTCCCTGACGTCTGCTGGGCCAGAAAACTGTCTTTATTATCTATCAATTTCAAGCTTTCGCGAAGCCGAAACGAGAGTCTCTCTCTCTTTTCATTCTTTTCGCACGTGTGATAACGTCTCTCGACCTCAAGACTCGTATACACATCCCTTGCTTTGTTTGCGCACTCAAACAACGCTGGACGAAATATTTGCACCGTGTTTTGTGAAAAGCATTAGCACTGAGACACCTCCCGACGAGTCTCCCTCATTTTACGTAGACATATACCTAAGCGTACGCGTATGCACGTTCTCGCATTCCGACTTTATAAACATGCTGCGGTGCATGGAACCAGCGAAATCGCGCTCACAATTTCATTTGATTACTGCTGCTATCTATTTCCGCACAATTCGTCTCCAGGCACCAAAGTCGCTCACGTGTCTTGTAATAAGAATATTGTAACAAAGGCTACCTTTGACTATAGGTACAAAACACTCTTACGTTCACCACTATACCGTGCTAGATTGCACGGAATTAGTTAAGTATAGCAGCGCAGCTTCAATGAAATGTAAGGTAACTGGTCGCGTTAAATAGGGGAAGGCATTCGAGGCACATTTTAAAACATTGCATGCATCGATTTATGTGTGGTTTCATTTATGTGGTGCACCTGGAGTGTTGTTCACTTGTACTTGGCGAGATAGTGCATGGATTGCTCGGTGGCTTAAAGCTATCGAGCGATTACTTTTTTTAGCTACAGTCGTTGATTAAAGGCGAGTGCTTGGCTTTGCACAGCCCACCAAAACGTCTATTACGACGTACGCGGCATTCCGTAAGCGCTGTAGCAGACGCTCGCGGAACTGAAACTTAGATGCAGCAAATCATTGGCTATCAACGTATACTCTCGTTGCTAGATGCTTTGCGTGCTACCTTGATATTATCGGCACACGCTTCTTTCTTTCCTTGTCGTTTCATCGGCTATCGTGTGTCCTCCTTGCCCTCTTAAGTGCCGAATAAGTTAAATTCATACCCGCGCTATAGTAATCCCTCCAGATAAGAGAATATTTGGCTAATAAAATGCGTAGCCAAAGAGAAAGCTTTGTGAATTCGGCCCCAGGTCTTTTGATGACGATAAGGATTATGAAGTTGTGTCGCCAACCCTTCCTACAGGACATATTGTTTTAAATACGGTTTTTCTGCACGCTGACGTACGAGCCCGACCTTATCGAGTGGAAGATTTCCATGACACCTTGGCCAGCCTGCAACTGCTCCCCGAAGTGGTTGCTTTGGGGGCATATAGGATGAGCCACGCGTGGGCGGTAACGTTCAAGAACATGGACGCTGTCAAGACGATTCTATCGCAAGGCGATGTCAAGGTGAAAAATTGTCGCTGTCTTGTCATTGATCCGCCAAACCAGGATGTGCGTATGAAAGTGCACTGGCTGCTGCACAATGCTCTCGATGAGGATGTGCGACGCGCTTTCGTGCCGTACGGCCAAGTGGTTGACGTCAACAGAGAGCGGTGATGTGTAAGCGGCATCAGTGAAAAAGGCTCCACTACCCATATTCTGACACTTTGGTTGAAAGTGGGCGTCAAAATTGAAGACCTGCCTCACTAAGTGAACGTAAGCGGTGAGCAAGCTTTGGTGGTTGTTCCAGGCAGAGCGCCAGTATGCTTACGCTGTCGAGCAAAGGGGCTCATACGGCGAGATTGCCGTGTGCCAAGCTGTGGTGCCTGCCGAAGATTTGCCCACGAGGAGAACGACTGCACGTTGTCTTATGCCAGCGTCACCGGACCTCCGAGTGGCAACGACCACGCAGAGCTCTTAATGGACGAAGATGAAACTGAAGAGGCAGCGAGCGCGACTGCGAGGAAGAAACAGGTGACCCCAGAATTGGTGAAACTGAGCAGGCCTAGTAGGATGGACAATGAAAAGGTTGAGAACAAGGCATCCCAACCAGAGCCAGAGAAACCGATTACGACAGACAAGCCATAACAGCACCTGCCGACTGTAAAGGCTCCCAGCGACGCAGACACACTGCAAGACGACATGGAAATCATCGACAGCGCAGGCAGTGTACTAGCTGGAAAGCGACCAAGAGACATTGTTGGTGAAGACTTCACTACCTCCGGAGACGTTGGTCGAGAAGAACCACCTGCAAAAACTACAGGAATGAGGCGACCAACGTTGAAGCCACGGCCGAACTTGCAGACTAATCTACGGGCGGAGGCCAGACAGCTTTCGCAAAAGCTTCCTGGGACTTGAGTTTTTTGTGCCTTTTTCCGGATGGAAAGTAACCCGTAAGTGAGCGGAGTTTACACACACCATGCCTCTGTAAAACCTGGACCGATCGCCGCAAAATTTTCAGTAATACTAAAGCCGTTTTTTAGAAACGTTCACCTAAAGTAAACACTGTGTATTGTACTCCCACCCAAACAAAAATCATGGCTTTCAATATAGAATCAGCCTTACGCGTCGCAACTTTTAACGTTAGAGGTTTACGCTCGAAGAGGCGACAGTATCAGTTACGTCGTTTGTTTCTTGAAAATAACGTTGATATCGCCGCTGTGCAGGAAACAAAAATTGAATCTGAAGAGCAGATGGACACCATATTTTTGAACTTCCGCTCCAGATACAATGTATGTGTCAGTCATTGTGCAGGTACTTCAGGCGGATGTCTTCTATTTATAAGGAACACAATTGGCATTGTCGAAAAAAGTGCACACAGTGATAATGAAGAGCGAATAATTGCATGTGATTTTCTTCTTTCTGGCATTAGTTGGCGCGTTGTGTGCGTATATGCGCCAAATAGACAGCAAGATAGCAAAATATTCTTTGAAAGTCTTGATACGTATCTATCATGCGAGAAGGCAGTTATACTTCTAGGCGATTTCAACTGTGTGTAATGCCGAAGACAGGGCGTGTAAAACCCTTGTACGTGACTATAGTGCCTTGGTATTGGATTCAATGGCGCGTGAGCGAAACTTGGCAGATGTGGGATATTTACTGGCACAGGGTACTCACTATACGCATTACCAGCTCAACAGTCAAGCAAGACCTGACAGAGCATACGTGTCTACGTCCCTGCTTCCTATGTGCCAGGGCTACGCAGTGAAGAATGTTTCATTTAGTGACCATAGTCTAGTAATGTTCACCTATAATAAAAAAGAAAAGCCCAAATTCAATTGGGGGCTCTGGAAGGTAAATAAAAGCTTCTTGAGGATGAGAAGTTTGTAGAAAACGCTGAAAAGGAATTAAAAGAAAAGACGAAAGGTAACGCAAGTAGTTCAATGTACACATGGGAGTGCCTCAAGGAAAAAGTAAATATAGAAGCAATTGGAAGGTCAGTTTCAATAAAACGCACTAACCTGAAAAAAGAAGGACAACTGCAATGCGAGCTTGATTTTTTTGTTATGTCAAGAATGTGCGCAACCAGGAGTGCGCAGTAAAGAAATAAGAAGAGTGAAACAAGAATTAGAAGCCGTAGATACGGAAAGGTACAGAGGAGTGGTGGTACGCGCACGCGCAGAAAGATTATGGTGTGGCGAGGTTCCCACAAAATGTGCCGTCACAGATGAAAAGAGCTACGCAACAAGAAACGAGATAAGCGCAATAGAATACAAAAAGGAAGTCACCACAGATAAAACCGAGATTGAGCACGCGCTTGTGGAATATTTCCAAGAGCTGTTGGGGTCGTCAGAGCGGACACGAGTACGTATAGTCGGCGTTTCTTGTCACTTATGCCGAAGCTTGAGGATGACGTGAAAGCGAGATTAGAAGCACCCATCTCGGTCAGAGAAATCGAAATCACCATTGAAAAAATAAAAACGGTAAAACACCCGGTTCAGATGGACTAGGTGTAGCTTCTCTAAGAAATTTAAAAATCTTGTGGCAGAAGCTTAGTGGAAAGCGTTAGATGAGGCGTACGAAAGGAAAGAGTTACCAATATCTTTTCGGAGAACAGACATCGTGTTAATCTGAAAAACTGAAGATCCCGGGAAACAGCCGTCCGTCACATCCTACAGACCCATAACCCTAGCGAATGTTGACTACAAAGTATTCATGGTTGTTTTAGCCAGGCGAATCCAAACAGTGATTACAGAAATAGTCGGACTACATCAGACTTGTGGCATAACAGGCAGAACAATTATGACGAACATTCATATTGCCCGAAATATGGTAGAATGCTGCGATGAGTTTGACTGTAAAGTAGCTAGGCTACAAATCGTTCTTGAGAAGGCATTTGATCGCGTGAACCATGATATACTTTTCAGCATTCTTGACTATGTCAATATAGGGTCTGTGGTGTTGGAAGTGGTCCGAATGGCGTACACGGGGTGCACTACGAGAATTGTAATGAACAAACAGCTTAGTGATAATATACAAGTCCTATGGAGTGTAAAACAAGGATGCCCTGCATCGGCACTGCTTTCTGCTATCTATTTAGAACCTCTATGCCAGAAAGTGATACAGAATGATCAGATGCGGGGGTTTCATTTGATGTCTGCAGAGGTCAAAATACTTAGTTACGCCGACGATATTGCTGTGTTCTGCGAAGATCGGGAGAGTATCAGAGAAGCACTAAACGATGTGAAATTCTTCTGTGATTGTACTGGTAGTAGAGTCAACTGGAGTAAATGTCTTAGAATATGGCACGGAAATTGGCAGAGCACACCATCAATATTTCAAAGCATTACATGGAAGGTTATACCTGACAAGTACTTAGGGGTACCTCTCCAACACTACAGAGACACAACAGAATATTGGAAACAAGAGACAGAGCAACAAAGAGACAAGACAAAAACGTGGGGTGGGCGTGATTTCTCAATGTTTACGAGGTCAACAGTGAGTAACATACTTTTTATTTCACGAGAATGGTATGTTTTACAAGTGCTATTCATGTCACGTGTTGCTGTACAAAAGCTACACAGAGTGATCGCAGTGTTTATCTGGGCGTCCACGTGGGAAAGGACAAGCCGAACAAATCTGTTCCGTTCTGCGAAAAGTGGGGGGCTTGGTCTTGTACACTTCTTCCTGAGGCAGATAGTATTTAGGTTTGTTTTTTTACGAGATCAAAATGATCGTTTTTTGAGAACGTTTATACATGTGTGGCTGTCCCATTTTTTGCCTGATTTTATTGTAACCACAGTCAATGGGGTGACAAAAAGACCTAAGGAGTACATGAAAGAAGTAATTGCTGCTTTGGAAATATTGAGAGTGCGATTTTCGATGGAGTATCTCTCTGGGGTTTCGCGAAAAAGACTGTACAAGGACCTTGTAGAAACCATGTTGCCAGTGCCTCTGTATAGAACATTGTACCCTAATGGGCCCGGGGATGACGTCTTGAAAAGAGCGAAGAAGATGCCAATTAGACCATCAATGAAGACATTCTTTTTCAAACAGTCAGCGGCACACTCCCTACCAATCCATGGCTTCGAGAAAAAGGAATATTCGTCCCGTCAGTTGATTGCATTATCTGCAGAAAACTTGAGACAGTTGACGACATCTTTCTAGACTGTACTGGTGCAGTCTTTCTCTGGGACATCCTTCAAAGAACCCTAAAGAAAGATCTGCCAGTTACGCAGTATGGCATTCGTTTTTTGCCAGTCATAAATGTAGGCGGTGTGCCCTACGATATGTTCATGGTATTGGTTCTTCACAGTGTGTGGCGAACACGGATGGCAGTGCAAAACGTAGACATGAATCCCCGGCCCGCTCGAGAGTACTTCATAGAAAGTGTACAGTATTTGATGACTGCATACGAGGCACAAGATAAGCCAGAGTGGTTGCCATGTTTAGATAAGTTGGTAGGCATAAAGCGTCTCCCCTTTTAACCCCCATGTGCTGGAAGATGTGACAGCACTTTTACACGTGACTCTGCACTGTATTCTTATATTGATTTGTACTGTTTGCGAAGCAGGCAATAAAGAAAAAAAAGCTGTGGTAGCTCAGTGGTTAGAGCATCGAACGCGTTATTCGAAGGTCGTAGGTTCGATTCCTGCTCACGGCTGGTTATTTTTCCATCCACTTTTCTTTTTTGATAATTACATTCCATTGGTTCTAATAACTTCCCCTGTACATTACTTGGCATTACTGTCTGTTAGATCTCATTAATATTGCGTTAAAACACGGAAAAACGAGCCCTTAGGTATACACTTCTTTCCCTTATTTTATATATATATATATATATATATATATATATATATATATATATATATATATATATATATATATATATGTGGGAGTAATAATTCAATGGGCCAGTTAGTCTTCGTGAAGGTATGGGATATGGCACAACGGGAGCGTTGTCAACAAGGATAAATATATTTATTTCCCAACAGTTTCGGGAGGGGACCTCCCTTCATCAGGGGATGAGTTATACTGACATGAACTTCCTTGCTGCCGCGTCCCTCTCGCCTTGAAAGATGTTTGCGAGAGTGACGGAGAACTAAAAAAGAGAGAAAGAAACAAAACAAGAAAGAAAAGAAAAAAGACGAAAAGAGAACAAGAAAAAAGAAAAAGAAAAAAGGAAGAAAGTAGAAAAGAGGAAGAACCACTGTCAACACTGAGAACGAAACCAAATGTCCGTGACACACGCCGAGAACTGACCAGCACGGGATAATAACCGGATGTGGACGTTTACGGACATTTGGTTTCGTTATTAGTTTTGACAGTGGTTGTTCCTCTTTTCTACTTTCTCTCTTTTTTTCTAGTTTTTTTTTCTTTTTGTCCTTTTTCTTCTCATTTTTTGCCTTCTTTCTTTTTTTAGTTCTCCCTCACTCTCGCAAAAATCTTTCAAGGCGAGAGGAACGCGGCAGCAACGTAGTTTGGAAGTTCATGGTAGTATAACTCATCCCCTGATGAAGGTAGGGCCCCTCCCGAAACTGTTAGGAAATATCTTTATCCTTGTTGACAACGCTTCCGATGTGCCATATCTCATACCCTATATATATATATATATATATATATATATATATATATATATATATATATATATATATATATATATATATTTATATATATATATATATATATATATATATATTTATATATATATATATATATAGGTAATTTAGATATGATCACCTGTGTAGTGGGGAACAGGATGGTGGCAGAAAAAGAGGACGTTCGGTTGATGGCAAGAGCTCGCTGGTGCGCATTCACTGCTCTATACCGTCTAGTCGACTGTGACGTCGGCTCTGAATAAACCACTCTCGTAGACATAACAGAGTGGTGGAGCTGCTGGGTACGGCACGTCGACGTACCACGGAGCCACAGCTGTTCGGAGTTCGCCGGTCTACCACCGACAACAGCCGTCATGGCCGAGAGCGAAGGTCGGGAATCAACTCCTTCGACTTCGTGCAAGTCTACGCTGGCTACAGCTCGGCATAACAACATGGAACCCCGCTCGTTCGCGAGAATGGCAGGAGAAGATGTGGACGCGTGGCTAACGAACTACAAAAGGGTGAGCCGGTACAACCACTGGAACTCTATCGATCAGCTGGATAACGTAGCCCTCTTTCTCACGGACACTGCCCTGATCTGGTATGAAAACTACCAAGAGTCCTTGACAACGTGAGTTGTTTTTTCTCAAGAACTGAAGAAGCGTTTTGGTGACTCTGACTCAAAGAAGAAAAGCGCGGAGCGGACTCTGGCTGGAAGAGCTCAGACTTCTGGAGAAACGTGCACTGCTTATATAGAGAACGTTATTAAGCTTTGCAAGATTATAAACCCGCAGATGTCTGAAGAAGAAAGGGGCGGACAACTCTTGAAAGGCATAGCGGAAAACAATTTTATAATAGGCAGGGATGACCTCACCTCTGTCTCCGACAACCAACAGCCCTGCCGCACGTTTGAAGAACTGAAGACTTGTCAAATTGCCCGGAAATTCGGTAGACTGGCAAATGTGACAAGGGTCGCCAGGCGTCGACGTGAGCCTGCCGATCGACCTTGCCGCTACCATTCGGGCAATAGGGCGTGAAGAGCTGCAGCGACAAGGTGGTGGGGTTGACAAAACTATTCCTCATCCACCTACCAATCCACCCTACTTCATGGCAGCGCCTTTAGCTCCTTTGCCACCATCTGTATGGGTGAAAGACGTCAGCGAAACTGGAACTCCGTGGCCACGTCGTGACTCATTCGCAGCGGACCAGCGCTATGGCCAACGCCTTCGTCACGGCCCCGCCACACAGAGGTAGGCAGCCCCCGCTCAGCAAGGTCGTCACCAACCCTTCACAACTGAGTGGTCTCAGCATTGGTTTGGCGGGCGTCCTCTACCAGTCTGCTACAACTCTGGTTTCGAAGGCCACATTACCAGGTATTGCAACTACCGGCAGCCACCAAGGTACGACCGATCACCGAGGTATAACCGTTCCAGCGTTACCCGAGCCCCGACATTTCCGGGAAGCGCGTCTTACGAAATCTCAGAACCACAACGAAACCAATCTTCGGCCTCTGACCGCAGTGTGCCACCACCGCCTGCCCCTCGCGCCAACCGATCACCGTCTCCTCGGCGCCGCCACTCCACGCCTCCTACGAAAAACTAGCGGGCGCGACCGTTAGAGGTGAGATCGCCGGACAGTCTCCAATTTCAACAGATATACCTCCGTTAGCTTCCGTGTTTAGAAATAAGGTTCGATTGCTTATCGATGGTGTACCAACAATGGAGTTGGTGGACACAGGCGCAACCGTGTCAGTGATGAGTTTAGATTTCACCCGCCTCCTTGGACGAAAAGTTATGTTTCGTTGGGACTGCCCTGATACGTTTCATGGAGTGAGCGGAGAGGTGTTACAACCTGTTTGTGTATGCACTGTGACTGTTAGTTTGGCATGCCAGAACTTTGTTGCAGAGTTTGCTCTTCTCCCTCATGCTACGCATGACGTTATTCTGGGACTCAATTTCTTGAAGGTATGTGGTGCCACTGTCAATTGTCGCACAGGACAAATTACAGTAGATACCAATATCCAAATGCGTTTATAGAAAACTCGCTCTCTCAGGAAAGTGTTCTTTGCGTGTACGATGACACTACTGTGCCGCCATTGTCTGTGAAATGTGTCCCTGTTGTCTGTTCACCTGCAAGCGAAAAAACATTTGACGCAACTGTGGAGCCTGTGCATCTCAGTTGCATAAAGAAGACAGTTTTAATACCCTACTGCACGCTATCGGTTCCGCAAGGGCATACCGGTTTATGGGTGATAAACTGCTCTGACGAACCAACAGTGCTGCTGGAGGGTCTGAATCTTGCAGAGATTGGTGAATACCATGTATTCTCGCTTGCCATCCTTGAAGGAAGCAGCGATTGCTCGGATAAGACCCATTGCGATAATCTTAACGCCAGGGACACCACTAGTATGGTTATGATTAACAAGTCACTCAGCACAAAGGAACGTAATGAACTGGCGACTATTCTGCGCAAACATGCCGGTGTTTTCGATTTCGCTCAGCACGATCCACCGTCATTTCCTGCTACTCGTATAAAGCACCAAATTCACACGACATCCCACAGACCTCTCCGACAGAAACCACATCGTGTTTCGCCTTCGAAACGAGCAGTGATCAATGAACAAGTCTGCGAGATGCTCAAGAAAAATGGAATTCAAGAATCATGTAGTCCGTGGGCCGCTCCAGTGATTCTAGTGAGAAGAAGAAGGGGACATGGCGATTTTGTGTTGAGTACCGCCGTCTCAACGCCATCACTAAAAAAGACGTATACATACTCCCACGGATTGATGATGCTATCGAATGTCTATCATTCGATAGCCTCTTACTTTTCGTCTGTGGAATTGAGGTCAGGCTACTGGCGGATTTGAATGCACGAGGAACACAAGGAAAAAACGGCATTTGTTACAACGGATGGACTATTTGAATTTAATGTGATGACATTTGGACTCTGCAACGCGCCTGCAACTTTTGAGCGATTTATGAACAACATTTTGCATGGATTGAAGTGGGAAGTGTGTATGTGTTACTTGGACGACGTTGTAATTTTTGGGCGCACGTTTTGTGAGCGCAACATTCGCCTCGGCCTCGTGCTGGACTGCCTAAGCAAAGCTCGCTTGATGCTCAACTCAAAGAAATGTCGTTTTGGAGAGCGCCAAACACTCGTCCTTGGACACTTAGTATACAAAGAAGGTATACGACCAGATCCGGCCAAGACGGCCGCAGTGGAAACATTTAAGCAACCTCACTCGGTAAAAGAACTGCGCAGCTTTTTGGGGCTTTGTTCATACTTTCGCCGATTCTTTCCTGGCTTCGCCAATATCGCATACCCGCTCACGTGTCTGCTTCAGAAAGGTGCGCAGATTGACTGGACCCCTGAATGTGAGTCTGCTTTTTTCGGAGTTGAAGTTTCTTTTGACGTCTCATCCGATTCTTCGGCACTTCAATCCTCTGGCTCCCACTGAGCTTCACAAAGACGCCAGCGGTATTGGTGTAGGTGCTGTCCTGGTTCAACGCTTGGATAACCAAGAACACGTCGTAGCATATGCAAGTCGCTCACTCAGCAAGTCCGAGCGTAACTACACAGTCACAGAGCAAGAATGCCTTGAAGTAGTCTTCACAGTGCAGCGCTTCCGGTTCTACCTGTACGGACGCCCCTTTACCGTCGTGACACACTATCATTCTCTCTGCTGGTTGGTCAATCTGTGTGACCTATCTGGTCGGCTGGCGCGCTGGGCACTTCGTCTTGACGGTTTTCTATAAAAGCGGCCGACGTCACGCTGACGCAGATTGTCTTTCACGACTACCGCTTCCAACGACGGATTGTGAAGCGGACAACTTCGACACCTACATCGCATCACTGGACCAACCATTTCGCGATGCTAAGACCTTTAA